TTTAGAATATATAATCTGAAAGAGCAAACATTTCTCTACAAAATGCACGGCCAAATGATATTTTAACCGTGAAGGTGATGGAACGGCCATCAAATCTTTTACCAGGACCAGAAAATTTTTTTGGTCCCGATGCCCATCTCTAGTTATCGACTATGCTGAATCTCGAGGCAATGTTACTTTTCAGAGCAAAATGCAAGGGCCGAGTGAAAACCTATAATATGTGAATTAACCCATTTTTGAGTACTTTTGTCAAAAATTAAATAATTCATACTTCAGTCAAAATCCATCCAATCTACTTCAGAATGTCAGCAAATACTCTATTTTATCTGCAGCTCAATCTGTAAAGCTCAATAAATGTGGAAAAAATCAACAGAAAATACTTTGTTACTTATTATTTAATTTTTGATGAAAGTACTCAAAAATGGGTTAATTCACATATTACAGGTTTTCACTCGGTCCTTGCATTTTGCTCTAAAAAGTAACATTGCCGCGAGATTCAGCATAGTCGATAACCTATGTTTTCATTCATTTCTGACAATCCCAAACCTAACGGCATAGGAGTGCTAAGGCTTCAGGAAAATATCCATAGCTCCCGAATCATGGGCTTTCAAGATGTTGCTCAGACTCAGTTTTGTAGAGGACACTGCGGACTATATATGCCCCCAAAAAGTCAATAGATCCCTGTTTGATTTCGAAAAATCTAAGCTAGTTTTTCACAGATTCTCTGGAAACCCGGCTTCGAAAAAGTTTGTTTTCGTAAGAGTAAGTTTTTTAAAATGAACGGAGTAATTATTTCAGACAAGGTGGGGGAATTCCCCCACCTAATTGAAAACGCTGTATATACTTGACAGAAATATCGAAAAGGCGTTATCTTTATTATCGTACTTGTTTTGTATTGAAATCAGAAAATATTTCCATCTACTTGACTCATACTTTGCTATTTCTCCTTTTATTTCTCTGTATATTACTCTTAACAATACTCTTAATTTCTTACTATCTATATTTTGTTTTTTCTTACGATAATACATATTTCTTATTTTTCTTAGTTCTTTCAATTTTGTTAATATGTGGCTCGACGGCAATGGCCTATAATTTTCTTTATTCCATTGAGTTAATTCCAATTCCTGAACACAGACAAAAAACGAATGTAATCCTTATATCATTCATCTGATGACACTTTTGTTTGTCGCTCCAACCAAAAGTCTTATAATAAATATAATAATATTTCATATTCCTTTCAGTTTACAAATGTATGTTTGAAAGCATACAGTATCGATTGAGTGCATAATTGATCAGTGGTCACTAGTACGAAAATTTAGTGTTTCACCTCTAATGGTCATTATATCTGAGAAGATTATGCAGAGAGAGTTAAAGTTATTTTTCATACATACTAAGTTGATTTTTCCTATTCATTCGTTTTAGAGGACTCATAAAAAGAATGTTTTCTATGTAGACTTTTATTTGTACATCGTTAACACATGATAAATATAGCCGACGTAGAAAAAAGAGAATGACCGTTTTGACCTTTATCTCAGTTAGTTGTTTAATGTCGATAACGCCTTTTCTCTTCATTTCATCAATATAAATAAACGATTCAATTCAGTTTAGTTCATTTCGTCTCATATTTCGTCTAAAATGTTGACTCTTATTTTATTCACATGTGTTCTATATATTCTATTTATTTACTATTTTAATTTACGAAAGCGATATCAGTATTTTGAACGGCAACAAATACCTACACCATCATATGGTCAATTTTTTTTCGGTCATCTCAAACAACTTTGGCAAACAAAATCCGGTTATTCTCGTCAATTACAAGAGTGGACAAGGCAACTAGGTTCAATTTATGGTTTTTATGAAGGATCAACACCAGTCTATGTTGTATCAAATGTTGACTTTTTACATGAAGTTTTTGTTAAACAATTTTCAAATTTTCATGCACGAAAATCGTCAATACAAACACATTTGATTAAAGCTAAACATCTCGTAGAATCTCACGGATCAAACTGGAAACGAGTACGTAAATAATATTATATAAAATGAACTTTATTTGTATTATAATATATTTTATATAGCAGCGACAGATTATTAATCCAACATTTACATCATTGAAATTAAAAACAATGTCACCATTAATCGATAATTCTATTGAAGAGTTAGTAAAAAAATTAAATACTGATAAACTATTCAATATTTATCTATTGTATAAACGATTGACCATGGATGTCATATGTAAGATTAATACTGTAGTTAGTTATACGCTAAAAATGTCGTGTTTTTTGGAGAATTTTAGATGACTTCTTTGACACAATATCCAAAGCTAAATTTTTCATTATTTTTCAGAAACATGACCCAGGCACGAATATATACCCGTTAAACCACACGGGTAACCACGTGTGATTTGATTTTATACACGGTTCATGCGGATATCAGACCGATTCTCACCGGTGGAGCACCGGTAAACCGACGTTTTTAACCGTTTATTCATCGAAAAACTGCAGGTCTTGAAGGCCGTCAATTTTTCGCTCGTTTTTTTGGTAAAATTAGCACAAGCAGTTCTCGCCGGTCATGATTGCCGTTGTCCATAAACGCTGCACTGCGGTTGCTACTGAAACAACTTCAGAAACGGCGGGTGTTTTTTTTCTTGGAGAAATAATCTCGGGTCAGTGCGGTTGTGTGACGACAACTCATTCATCGATTTGTTTTGCAACACTATTAGTTATATAATAGCACAAGTTTTGTGCAGTTGACATATACTTTTGAATTTTTATAATTTCTATGAAGTCAAAGTAATGAATCAGAGAAAATGGTTCTCAGAAAATCAGTAATGTTCCATTTTCAAAAAAAAGGCAGTGTGTACAGCCAGGTCTCTCTCAAAATAAAGAGAGACTAAAGCTCAGACCAAAAAACGTTTTTCCCGCGGTTTTCGTTGGTTTTAAGCGTTCTTGTTCTCTTTAGCTTAAAGCAAGCTTTAAGAGAGAAAATCATCTTGACAGGAAAAACTTTTCGAAAAAATTTGACCGGTCAGTACTGCGGATACGTTTTAAAAGGGAGTAGAGGGGTCGTTCCCTTTCCAAAATAGCCACCGATCTAGGCGGATATCTTTTTTTTCAACCTCGGTGAACCACAGTTTTATGCAAAAAAGTAACCGCCTTCATCTGCGGGTAAATCGAAAAGGGATATTCCAGCCAATTTAGCACACACGTAGATCTCTGCGCTTTTCGCCAAAATATAATCGTCGCGAACCGCTGGTGTACCCCAACGATGCAAAATTAATATCAAAAACACACCCGCGATTTTTATAAGAAAGATCGGTATGTGTGTCGCAAACCGTCGATTTTACCCGGTTTTTCTGCCAGAAAAATAATTCGGTATAACCCGCATTGTCGACTCGTTTTTCCTATTGATTTTCGTGTAGGGGCGAGATAAACTCTTCCGTGCGGAATATTCGATGTTCAAAATACTGAAAGCGAAAACACTCACTTTTTGTTGTCTATTGTTCGTTCAACTTAAATTTCATAATGTTTTCAGTTAAGCTAGAACTAATAGTTTCATGAAAAATAAAACGAATGCGTTCTTTAAAGGGGACTCGACCCATTTAGATTTTCCTGAAACATTCTCAGTTTTTAGAGGGTACTTCATAGTATGTATGTCCTGCCGTTTTCTAAACTTACTTACATTATTTAGCTGCGAAAGAAACGTTGTTAAATCCATCCATCTATCCATTCTTCATTCATCATAAAAACTTGGTTCTTGCCCTGTAAAAACGTCTTCTTGGAATTGATGTACTACGTAGCAAATAATGAAATTTTACTTCTGACTTTTCTTCAGGGTTTGAATAAGAAAGATTGTCTGACATCTGAAAAACCTTTAAATTGCGTTTGACTAGAAGCAAAAAATCCTAAGTCTTGAAAAGAGATGTAGAAAAAAATCCAAGCGCTCATAAAGCCTGATCAATTCTTCAGTGCGGAAAGAAATGAGATCTACTCGGCAGTCAAAAACTGCATTCGAAAATTTTTCTAGGGTAGACTGTCTTGTAGCCCGTCAAATTCTCGATGAGATAAGGTATTACTTGAAGTTCTTCGTAGAGTCGTTATTTTACAAATGGAAGTTTAAGCTATTGAGGTAAGCTAAATTAACGTTAATTAGTACTAATTAGTCGATCAGGAAGGAAAGAACAGAACTTTTTCATAGTAAATATTTTTCATACATTCTCTATCGATTTAGACAAGAATCGATGAATGAAGAACGGATAGGAAATTTTCTAATAATAGCCCTGTACTCAAAAATTTAACAACATCTTTTTAAGTATTTTATTTTTTTCTGAACTAAATAATGTAAGTAAGCTGAGAAACCTATACAAAACATATACTTCGAAGCATCTTCTACAAACTGGGAACGTTTGAAGAAAAAATTCAAAGCTTGAAAATATAGCTGGTTTTTAACTCACGTCAGCGAAGACTTTTTACATCATCCTGCGGCTAGTTTCGCTTGAAGCAAGCATTTTGAAGCAAAAACACTGGGTACAAAAGTTGTTCAGAATCGAATTTCAAAGTCGCTGAAGCGAGCTTTTTTAAAATTTTCTGTTTTTATTTTTAATTTAAACTTTTAAAATTACTTATTTTTTAATTTGTAAAATCAAAAAAAGAAAATATTAGAAAAAGTTTGTGTCAGGGATTTCGGAATTCGATTTTGAATAACTTCTGTACCCAATATTTTGCTTCAAAATGCTTGCTTCAAACGAAACTAGCCGTAAGGCTTTTTGTCATATACTTCGATGTGTTCTACAAACTGGTGAAAAAAAAGTCTGATGTAAAAATCGTATCTCCTTTGTTCTCTTTTAAAACAAATAGGAATTTTTCAACAAGTGCTATGACAATACGAAGAAAGTGTATATTCTTACTGTGTGTACAACATAATCAAAATACGATGAAATAATATTTGTAAATTCTAGGTCGTTGTGCATTTGGTATTGATACCAATATGCAGGATGATCCTGATAATATTTATTTACATAAAATTGGTCAAATAATTTCAACTGATTTTGAAAAATTGCACTTATCCAAATTATGTCGTGTTATACCAAAATTAAGTTGGATATTTGCGCAAATATTTTTATTTAGAAATAATTTTAATAGATTAATGAATTTCATATGTGGACATTTAATGAAATTCGAAGAACTTCCAAATCTTTGGCTATTCAATCGTATACAGAATGTAATTGATATGCGATCAACTAATATAGAACAACGCCGTATCGATTTATTACAACTAATGTTGGATGCGTCAGCTGAAGGAAAAGTAAGTAGGATTTTTTATTGTCCCATATTTTGTTCGTTATGAGCATCGCTTTTTGTTGTATATAGGAAAAATTATCATATGAAGAGGTTAAATCCAATGTTTTTCTCTTTTTACTTGCTGGTTATGAGACAACAGCGACAGCTTTAGCTTACTGTACATATGTTCTTGCAAAATATCAAAATATACAAGGAAAATTACAAATGGAGATTGATGCTGAAAATGATGAATATTTAGATTTATTTATCAAAGAAGTATTACGCATGTATCCAATACCAATACAAACGATTAATCGTCGATGTATGATCGATGAAGCATCTGTTTGTGGTTACAAAATTCATCAAGGTTCAATTATACAAGCTGATATTTATTCTATACATTATGATCCAATTTTATGGGGTCCACATCCAACAAATGAATTCTATCCTGAACGTCATTTAGAACAACGACATCCAATGGCTTATTTAGCATTTGGACAAGGACCACGAAATTGTATTGGTATGCGATTTGCTCTATTAGAAATAAAATTAGTCTTACGACGATTATTAAAAGAATATACAATTGTACAGATAAATGAAGAAATATTTTATCCTATACGAGAAACAGCTGTTATACGACCAAATGAAATACAAATTCAATTGAGAAAACGCTAAAATCTATCACATTTCTTTCTTTTTGTGTAGATAATTAATTCTTAGTGATATATTGATAGTTTAGCGTCAAAGAAGAAAACGTTAAAAATGTTATTTGTAGAAACAAATAAATATATCGTTTTCCAGACATTCAACTGTATAGATGGAGATCTGCGCCTCTGCCTATTCGAGATGAGAGCAGCTTTTCTGTAAAAGTAGTAACTCTGCAATCTGGTTTCAAAGTCGATTACTGAAGAGATCTACTGAAAAAGTCTTTGTCATCCAAAAAGTTAAAACGGAAAACATCGAATTTTTTGCGCTGGTGGATGGTCTCAAACACGTTCTAAAAACTGTGTACCATTCAAGTTCTGCCTCTATCGTATTTTAAGCATTTGTACTTGTTTCGTTATTAATCTCAAGAACCTGGTAAAAACTTACTTTAGTCCACTTTCGTGAAAAATTATTTATTCAAAGACAATCTAAATGGCTTAGAAAAATGATGGTGTGATTTAAAATTTGAATAAAATCTGTTGTACTCTCAACGGCTATTCGACCACCGTGTTTGATCGAAGAAAAGTGATCTTTTTCATATAGTTTCAATTTTTATACATTTTTCTGAATGAAGATAAATCGAAGTTTTGGTGATGATATGCATAGGCAGACTACACTCCGCTGGAGAGCTCAACTGACTGGACGCAAGAACTCGTCAGGTTAGCCTTCTAGCCAGAGCTGCACTTGATGACTAGTAACAAGATGGATGACCATTTCAGAAGGCTACTTCCTAAATGTGCCCGATATTTAAGCCAATTAGTATAAAATTGGGCGCAATTTGGAACGAGTAAATTTATATTATTCTCCGTTTCCAAATTGTGCCCACTTTGTTTAATTAGTGAGTAATCAACAATCGTAATTTAAAATATAGAAATATAAATTAGTCGCTTTTTAGAAGAAATAGAAGTAGAAACATATAAGAAGAATTGATAACTATATATATATTTATGTATTATATATGTACAGCTATGAAAAACAGCTATATCAAGTGCTAGTGTTAATGAATGAAACAACAGGAAGAAACCAGTTTATGAAATAGCGAACATATGGATAGTCGATTCGATGTTAGTGACATTATAGTTTTGATTCTATTAGCAACATTCACCTTTTTCTGATGATGAAGAAAAGAAAGTAAAACACAATCTGTTAAATAATTTATCTGTCATCGCTTTTGTGAACTGAACACTTCTCAGTACAATTATAAAGTTGAATTTTTTCTCTTTGAACGTTAATTATAATATCTGCTTCTTATTGTTTTAATTAAAATATTAGATGTTAATGTATGAGCTATAATCAGCTTTCAATTTGTTAACATTTATGTTCGTCGAATAACAGCAAAGTGGCATTTCGTTTAAATATATAATTTTATGCTTTATTGTGCAAGTATTTTAGTTAAAACACTTGTATATCGCACTGAAGTTTTGTGAACATCTAATATTTTAATTAAAACAATAAGAAGCAGATATTATAATTAACGTTCAACGTGAAAAAATTCAACTTTCAAAGTCAACTCTTCCCGTTTTTAAGATGAACACACAAGATCTGTTCATCAGAAAGTTGAAAGAAAAGGAATTTAGAAGAAAATATCGTCCATCACTAAATCCAGACGATGAAGATTAATTGACATTTCTATGGCTACCATTTCAAAAATCAAAACTCAATCAAAATGAAAAAACATGTCATTTTTTCTAAAAAATTTTTTAAAAGTGTTTTAAATTATTTTATCCACTGAAGTGATGAGCACCAAAGTGTATCTCGAAACGCGTATCGTACTTTCTATAATTTGGTTATACAGTTGAATAAATATTTTTTCTTCTTCTATGTTAGATATTTTTTTTAAAATATTAGTATATTCTACCCACACACTGATTTAAAAGTATTTTTTCTCAAGAAATAATTGTACTGAGAGGTGTTCAGTTCACAAAAGCAATAACGGATAGCAATCGTGTACAATATTCGCCATCCGATAGTGTGACCGGCTCAACCGTCGCCGGAGGTGCAGGTTTGCTTTTGGTTTAAACTAGTTCAGTCAGATATACGATACTTGGATTGATTCCAGTAATGAATATCAAAAGCAACCGTGCGTTGTAGTACTTACTGCCTCCGTTTCATCAAGTACTGGACACTAAGACGTAGAATATGTCGTTGTGGTTAATCTTCTTGATGTGCTCTGTGGAATCCTATTGATGAGATAACTCTTACGTAAAAGCCTATTTTAATCATACATTTTGTACTCAACGTTAAGTCTTGTATTTTTGCTTCGAATGAGTTTGGTATGATAGGCTGAGATTTTTAGTTAAAATGTTCAGGATCTAAGTCTGTGCTAGAGGAATGAAATTCCGTTCGTTTCCTTTATAGTTTTCGAATAGCGAAGTCTAAAGTCAAGGAGAAAAAGTGTGCTGAAGGTTCAGTACATCAGCAGTCTACGCGATCTGTCATTTAGAAAATAGGATATATATAACTACACACACTTACTTAAGTAAAACAAGATGTTTGTATTTTCTAAATGACAGATCGCGTAGACACACAGAATCTGCAGCATACTTTTTTCTCCTTTATTTGAGATCTAAGACGTCTCAGTACTCTCGACATCTCCCTATTTGGAAGCTATAAGAGAAACATACAGGATTTGAAATTGTGATCTTGTGTCTGTGAAGGAGAAATAAATGTTAGACATAAGACTGTTATATGTGATACACCAAAAATGTAGAATATCTTAAAAGGTTAAAGATTGAGATCATAGATCAACCGAGAATATTTTGAAAATGACACACTGTTGCAACCTGTATGCGACACCGATTTCTAGAGGCAACACTAATTCATGAAGCACCATGAAACTAGGGACCGAAGGTGACAAAGTGCATCCACTCAAGACCTGCAGTATCAAAGAGCTCCAGCATGTTCTACGAGCCGTGTCTAGCCAACCTTGCTGCTAAATCTGCGTTACGTTAGTTTAAAGTCCAACTCGAGAGCCGAACACTTCGACATCGAACGTCGTCTAACTTCAAACCTAGCTTCGGGTTCCAAACATCCCTAGCTGTAACAATTTGTTCGCTTTTCAAAGGCGTCATTCTATGCGAATAATGTCATGAATTGTACAAGTCTTTTTGGTCAAAAATATTGCACACCTAGTACTATCAATTTATCTGACAAACAGTTTCATTCTGGAAACATTTTGAGACAAAATATCTGAGCTTCGATAAATAAGCATATTTTAGAAAGGCGACGTTCTGAGAAGCTTGAAAATATAAGAGCTGTAGAATATACATGAAAGAAAATCTCACGTCTCGACGTTAATTCATTTGAATCCATATACCATACTGACGCTTTTGCTGCTTCGTCAAATGATTTGGTATCATGGAATGATAATGTGTAATATGCTAAATTATAGAGATTTTGAAACAATTTAATGCTTAATGTTGTATCTTTTGTTGTGCTATGCGATCTATGCCTTCTCTTTGTGAGATAGGATCAATTTACCTATAGATAGATTACAGATTTCTCTAAATTTGTAAGTTCATTTCGACCTAAAGCGTTGGAGATGCATTATATTCAATTTTCGGGCCTTTCGATGCCCCCTAATGTGTTTAGGGCATTTTATCATTCATACTAGAGACGTGAACATTGCGATGTACTGTAACAAATGCATCATGTTAACGAAGAAAACTCCAAGTAAAACATGACACTTGAGCAGGGAGCCCAGATCCAGTTTTTCGTAAAAAATCAGGAGGAAAACCAAGAGATTTTTTTTTGGAAACCAGAAGAGTATTAGGTAGTATTTTGTTGGACAAGCAAAACAAAAAAAGTCAATAACTTTTTGCAGGAAACCAGTTGAAAATCAAGAGAAAATCTTAAAAATCAGGAGAGTTTTCATTAGGAGAAAAGTCAAAAAATCAGGGGACTTTGCCACTCTGTGCACCGGTCCAATGCATTTAAAGACTAAGAAATTTCTAAAAAGCTATGTAAGAAGTTAAACTCGACCACCTTCTTCAGAGAATAATATGCTGCCAGATCTTGAAAAAATAGCCAAAATAGCAGGCTTTCATAGTTTTTCTATCGAGCATCACATCTGAAAAACTAAATTCGGTCACCTTACTTTTCAATTGGTATTTGCACAAACAGACCATTGAGAACTCAAGAAGCGGCATGTTTAGAAGCGGCAAAGGTAACAGGAAACAAAAGTGAATGTGCATAATAGTAACAGTTTTCCGTTTCAATGAGGCAATGGAATACTACTGCAAGCATGGCAATAGAACGTTATACTCATACTGCAACCCTGCTCAATTCTAGCGAAGTTCTTGCCACTGGTGGTTACGGATCAGCCGGTTTTCTTGCTAGTTGTGAAATATATGATTCATCAACTGGCCAATGGAAAACTACTGCAAGCATGTTAACAACACATAATCTTCATGCTGCAACTCTGTTTAATCTGTACAAAGTTCTTGTCACTGGTGATTACGGATCGTCCAGTTCTCTCGCTAGTTCTGAAGTGTACTCGCCGTAAATCTTCTTTTGTTTCTCTTCATGCCGGCACAATAGAATCTTCGTCATGGGTACAATAAAATATTCGTGAAAATAAATTTTACCCAATACTTGACAAACGCCTTTCATGATTTTTGGCTGTTTTTGATTACATTTGCTTAATGTGAACATGTTGAACATATGGTGAACATATTTACTGCTTGTTGACGCAACGCGAAATTTCAAAAATTAAACGCGGACTTTTGCTATTAAATATGTTAAAACATTAGTGAAACTAAATTTTCTCCAATACTTGTCAATGTCGTTTGCATTTCTTTCTCAGTTAGTTTTTGATCAAATTTCCTTTCCAATTTGATAATAATAACTCAACACCTCTTTCAAATACGCCATTGCCAAATGGTAATTGATTTGTTAACAAATGCCGTTCAACATCTTCCCGTTTTCGAGCTGGTAACTTATTTCTATGTTCACTGCGTTTTCGTAATACA